ACAAGATTCCACTGAGCACTTCCGTAAGCATTAATGTAAAAGGTCAAAATGTAGAACGAGTAAGTGAGGCAAGAAACTTGGGCCTTGTATTGGATGAAGGTTTAAGGTTTGAACGTTTTATTTCGGACTGTGTAAGAAGTTGCTTCTATCGTTTAAAGATTTTATATAAAATACGACCCTACTTATGCGAGGAACTGCGTGTGCGGTTGGTGGAGAGTTTGGTTCTGTCAAAATTAAACTATGCAGATACCGTTATAGGCCCCAGGCTCTTAGCACGCACCGGGAGATTAATACAGAGAGTACAGAATGCTTGTGCGCGATTTTGCTACAATGTTCCACCAAGAAGTCATATTACACCATTTTTAAACAAACATAATGTTTTAAAAATGAAGTCGCGCCGTAAACTTCATCTCGCCTGTCTTATGTTCGACGTGATAAAACTCAGGTGTCCTCCATACCTGTACTCTAGGTTTGCATGGGTTAACAGTCACCGGGAGCGTGAGGGTAGGCGTTGTGCTCAGCAGCTCGCCATTCCTCAGCATAGAACTGCAGCTTTTCGCGGCAGCTTCCGTTATGCGGCTTCCAAATGTTGGAATAATATTCCACCACCAATTAGAGATCTGAACAATAAAAACACGTTTAGGTTAAAATTAAAAACTTTTATTTTGACATCCCAAATTAAATTTAACGACATAAATATTGACAAATCCTTTATCTAATTTCAATTCATTATTTCAATACAATAAAAGTATACTTACTATTATATGCTAACTTGGACGTCTATGCGTTTTATGTGGGAGCTCGCCGTGTTGTACTGCTGGTGCTTCGCCATTGGTTTGACTCGTCGAGTACCGTCATTATAGACACAATTATAGAGCAATGGGTTGCGGTCGCCGGTGACCGCTTGGTGTTTGACAGTTTAATGTTGTTTTTAAGTTTTTAACTGTGGCCACAAGTAAACTTTGCTGCCGGAGTTTTGTGTCCGGTGGTCAGTGGAAGGCAACTGTATCTTTGTGGGTACGCGTCGAAATGAACCAGAGCTCAGCAGGGTTGTCACTGGAATAGTGCTTGTTTGGCAGCCAGAAAGTATGTAATACCCTCAGTTAATTGAAAAAAGAGTAAATATAGAAAGTGCATCTTTACATTTTTGTTCGTATTTACATAAGTCTTGAAGTCTTATATCTTGGTCTCTTATAAATGCATTCTTACATTTTTGTTTGTATTTACTTTTACTATTTGATCTATACATTTTTCTAATCACAACTTTTCACACACATACGCACGCATACACATATGCACACATAGTCTGCAGAATTTATATTATCTATTTAATCTCATATTTAAATCTATTTTCTTTTCCTTATTGAGGGGCGGTACCGCCGTCCGTGAGTCACTGCAGGGTGCCACCTGAAAATCAGCGTTGGGCAGGAATGCTCAACTATATGCTGAGGTGGAGGCCCTTTTGACATGTGCACACGCAGTATCATATTATTTATATTATGGTGTTTTTTTTTGTGTATTTAATTTGTTTGTATGTACATTATTTTCTTATATTTTGATGATTTTTACTATTTTCTTTATGCTTTTATGTTTCCTTTTGATATTATGTATTTGTGTAAGTATGTACTTGTATTTTTTTTTTTTGTATTTTTCTTTTTTTTTTTCATAATCTTTGTTTGTGTGCCATGTGCCAAATAAATGCTTTTTCTTTCTTCTTTTTTTTCTTCTTTTCGTGATTTATCGCCGGCGTCGAACCCGGGCCCTCGCGTGTCACTCACGATGAGATGGGAGAATAATGTCTTTGTATTTATTTACGGTATTGTTTTAGTACTTCAGTACTTAAATTGTATAACAAATTCTAATTGAATTATATTTAAATGAGGAACGTATATTGGAGACGCTATCTTGACTTCATTTTGACTGCTCTTCATAAATCCTTTAATTTTGTCCGACTTAAAAAAAAAGATGGTGGATCTCAATTTGTGTACGATTATCTCGGGATGGACTGAACAGATTTTGATGCAATTTTCAGAAAAGTGTTTGTTACACTTAAGAGAAGGTTGTTGTGTATTAATTAACCGACTTAAAACAGAGGGGTTGAAGTCGGGATTTTTAAACGTAGGTAGTTTATAAAAAAAATACTTTTTTTATAATATCTATCGTGATATGTACTGAATTAACTAAAACTCGCGGGTTACTCACGTGAATGTACTGAGAAAAGCTCTACTAGTTTCGAACCACAGAGGGGTTCTTCCTCATGAGCAGCGTGTGTGGTCGCGGCGATGTAGAGTAGTAGACTACGCGAAATCACGCGATAATAATTATTTATTCTCAAAATTATGAATTTGATTGAAATTTATGAAATTGACTGCACGATTGGCGCGGTGTCTGGGCCACCGGCTGCAGCGCAATGTGTCGCAGGTTCAATTCCCGCACGGAACAACTCTTTGTTTGATCCACAGATTGTTGTTTCGGGTCTGGGTGTCATGTGTATGTGATATTGTATGTTTGTAAACGTACACACGACACAGGAGACAAACATAGTGTGGGGCAACGTTTTAAATAAAATATTCTAAACATCTTTCAGATCTATGAGTAAAATCATGTGTGAAAGTTTTCCTCGCTTCATTTTTCGTTTTCATAACTTAATTGATTTCAGTAAAACAATTATATTCCCTGAAAGTTACAGCAAAAGGTTTCTAGCCACTACTAACATACTTTCAAGTTTCCTACTCAAACTGTAAAGTGCTAAAATGAATCTAGACACCAACAAAATATCTCTACATTAATGATAGAGTATGTAGAGTAAGAGAACAATACTAAGTACTGAGTACTCGCTCTACCAATCTGCGCGCTTTTGTACGGGCGCACCAACTGTAACGTGCCGTTGAACCGACTCTACCTAGAGCCGTAGAGACCCTCTACCATGAGTTTTAAGCAATAATACTAAAAGTCGACATAGTTGATGACGAAGAGGTAATTTTTTGTATGGCATCTATAGGGAGGCGAATGAGCAGACGGATCACCTGATGGTAAGCAAAGGCGCCACTCATGACACCAAGGCGCAACCCATGGACACCAGGGCAGTTATCAAGTTATCATTGCCTTTTAGGGATTGGGGTAGGTGAATATGGGGTCTACGGGAACCTCACTCACACAAGCGTTGTTTCACGACGGTTTTGTGCTCGGCTGTGTCACTATATAACTCCGGTCAAGCCGGTCCATTCGTGCCGAAGCATGGCTCTCCAACATTTCCACGGAACATACAAACTTGTTGACTGCCTCGTTGGCCGAGTGGTCGCAAGTGCGACTGCCGGGCAAGGGGTCTCGGGTTCGATTCCCGGGTCGGGCAAAGTATTACTGGGTTTTTTAAAAAAAAATCTCAGTAGTAGCACGGAGTCTGGAAATGTGCCCAGTATATGGCAATAGGCTCACCCCCTATTACATGGGACTCATAACATAAATAGTGAAAAGTGGGTGTTACTTCTGTGTGCATCTCTGTCTACCCCTTCGGGGATAAAAGGCGTGATGGTATGTTATACAAACTTGTTATAGAAAGAAATTATTGCGTCGTCACTATCGAGTATTGACAAATAAAAGCTTTAAACTCGTGGTAGAGGCGTTGTACAGTATGTAGAGCTACTAATCTTTGCTGTTCACAGTATATTGTTGAAGGTGTTTTAGTTAGATTAATTAGGTAGAGGTAGATTTGGTTTTAGGTGGAATGTTTAATCCTAGACTGTTACTGACGGTGTGTCTAAGATCTGGATGATGTTCTTAGGAGTGTGTTGGTGCTCTGTAGAATAACCGTGATAACATGATTATAATAATATTATAATTACTGCCTCGTTGGCCGAGTGGTCGTAATTGCGATTGCCGGGCAAGGTGTCTTGGGTTCGATTCCCGAGTCGGGCAAAGTATTACTGGTGTTTTTTTAATTCCGAGTAGTGGCACGGAGTCTGGAACTGTGCCCGGTATATGGCAAAAGGCTCACCCCCTATTACATGGGCCTCATAACATAAATAGTGAAAAGTGGGTGTTACATTGTACAGTGGTATAATGTGCACCTCTACCTACCCTCGAAGGGATAAAAGGCGTGATGTTATGATATAATTACTGTTATCAAAATAATGTAAACTTCCATTGAGTACGTCTCATTTCTTTTCAACTGACTTCAAAATGTGGTGATTTTCAATTTAAATGCCAAGTTATTTTCTATAAAATAGTTATGTTAATAATAATATCATCGCCGCTTATTAAACATTCCCTATTATACTTTTGGACTACATAGAAATAGTCACACAATATAAGATATGGCGAAACGTAACACAATGGCAACTCTCACATGAACACATGAACGTGAAGAGTTGAGGAGTGGCTCCGGCTGGAGTGTGCATAGCTGACATGCCCCACATTCCGACAGTATCAGCTCACGGGCCATCCCGACACCGACACCATTCACTATATCAACAATTAAGTTGAATGCACTTCAGGTCTATTGGTGCTGGATGTGATTGTGAGCGGACTTTTAGAACAGTTTTAGATATTTTGAGCGTGATGAAATGGGAGGAGATTTTCTGTCTTTTAGTGGAAGGGTATTTTATTTGGTTGGTGTATTGTGTGTTTTTTTGTAAAGATTAGTAAAACTGTCAATATTTTTATTCTCAAAACGAAAAAGTCCAATTTTCGTATCGTTTCGTATTTATATTTAATAAATAGATGTCAAATAAACACTAAAACCAATTAAATTGATTTAAGTTGTATATTTAATTTAGTAATAGTTAATATTAGTTGTATTTAAGTTTTTATTAAAATGTTAAGTTAATGTCAAAATTAAATTAAAAACGCTATACTTTAACTATTATTGGTTTATCGAACATTAACATTTTCACTGAAAAGAGTCTAATCAGATATTGTTCTACAAATAATGCAATTTCTTCACGAATCCAATAGAAAAAGTCAAGATAGTAAATAATACTCAAACCAAACTGGCTCATCCATCAAACTACATCAACGTTTAAGTTAGCGAGTTGATTGAGTCGGCACGCGGCGCGGCGCGAGGCTGGGCGCGCCGTGATCCTCCCTCCTGAGCCAGCATTAACTGGCATTGTGACAGCTTCCTGCATTATTGCAGCACAAGCCATTAAGCTGCACCAAGCTATTCATGCGACATGCTCATTTTGTTTATGGCTCGCTTGTAAATCAATCATTCCTGTCAAATGGCGCTGAATGAAGTTGCAAATCTGAGTTTCGATGTCTGTTAGACGCTTTGGTTATTCGTTATGTAGGAATATTGTGTGGTTTAATTATGTATATCTGTTAATTACATCTTTTTTCTTAACAAAATATCATACAGAAGTTTATTCTGTATGAGAATTGCCTTGCAAATTGCAAGAAATGATGGGATTGTCGATCAGCCAACTTTTTTTACAAACATATTACCTATTCTCTTTCAAGAAGTTTTACCGGTATAATGTGCTCTGGTTGCTAACGCTATTTAAGTATTTAAGTATAAATACTAGGCTACCTATACCTGCTTTTCTTCAAGATCATTTGTTTAGTATATTATTTCCTTTAACACAGAACTATAACGCGTAACATGAATCATTGATCTCATTCACATGTTAATTTGTACATCTATAGAAATCACAGTAAGGATTGAACTTTTCATCTCCACCGGACATCCGGCTCAAGCTTTGAATGAGATCATCAACTTTACGATCGAAGTTTGTAGAGTGCACAGTTACGCCATCTGTGGTCGTTGAACGAGTTTAAATAGTGAGTAATTCTAGCTAAGTAATGTAGATGGCGCGATGTTTAGTTAAGATTTATATTATAATGTTAAATTACCAAGTCTATATTCTCAGCTCTTCTAAAACAAACTATAAATACTTATTAATTGACGTTGTTGAAAAAGTAGATATTACTATCCTTAAGATTTTAATTTTAATAAAAAGTTATAGTGCGTTCCGACGTTACGACATGACATGACACCGTGACACACACACACGATACTATTTCTGGCGTTCAAGTGTAAAATTAAAATTATCGCAATAATTAGCACCTAAATAATTAAGAAGTAACAAGCTCCTACCTGCACAGCATCATCCAAGCACCGTCCCCAGGCGTCGCTCCTGTCCACCAAGGTGTTCCACTTGTCTGCCAGTTTAGCCACCTCCCTCCTGATGGACCTGGCCAGCTCGCGAGCCTGCTCCTCCGCTGAGCGGTAGCCACGGGAGTCACCTTCGTTTTCGCGACTCGCTGCAAAGAAAGTTGCTGGTTAGATACCAAATATTTATACATACAACGCAAAACAACAGGGATTTTTTGAGAAATTTGATGAAATAACCACTCTTTATATTAGAGTAGGTAGACACTAAAATCAAAGTGCAGTTTAGCATTAATTTCTTTTTTAAAGAGACCTGTTATATTATTGTGTGAACAATCAAGCTGGTGTTTTGCCAAAAGATGTGATAAAAAAATCGAATTAACACCTAGATAAGCCAAACCCATTCCATAATGACTACATCACGTAAAAAATATTTTTCAAACGACAAAATAAACATGTCACAGCTTTTCAGTGTTAAGTAGCAACTCGGGCCATCCACGAGCCACGAGCTGAGCTCTCAATATTTGGAGCGTGAGCGGAGCGCGAGTGCGGCGTGAGAAGGGGGGAGGGGCAGGAGGGCCGAGGGGAGGGGGGAATTTAATAATTACAACGTTACTTCCACGTCGGCGTTCTTCTGCGTTCACTTTAGATATTGCACTGGCATAGTTTTGAGGAGTTGAAATTTGGCAGCAAAGGAATTGTTGCAGAGTTTCATCATGATAGCAGTTTGAAGGTTATGGGGCTTACGACCCACAGATATGCTTGCGGTATCTCACAAAGCCAGTGTTTATTATAAGTTTTGGTAAAACAGGGTCAGTGTGTGTTGTCAGTTTTGTTGAGGGTATAATAGTTCAAGTTTAAGTTACTCGTCTACTAAATTATCACCAAAAATTTAAGTTAGAATTTTCGACACATAATCGTAAAAAGTACTTATAGCAACTATTTTCAAAATACATGACATGACAACAGGTTTATCACAAATTGGTCTCCTAGTCTATGCAATTTACCTACGTTCTAAAAAAGTCCAACATCGAACCGTTACAGCGACATTTTTATAAAGCCAGTGGATTTTCAAGTCCACTCGCTTTGTCACTAGCCCACGAATTCAAACGAAGCACTCGTTGGCCGCGACGCTGTCGACCGAATATTTTTCAATTTTTTTCATCTTGTAACATTTTTCTGTGTAACGGCTCAGTAATTTGGTTAGCGGTGCTTTTGGACATAGTTCCTGTCTAGTTTTGTTAATGTTACTATCTTTTAAGCCTTTATTTTATTTTACCCTACTCTTCGAAATAAATATTTCAATAACTTTGAATTATGTTGAAGCAGATGAAAGTGGAGGTCGCTCGTAACCATCTGACATGAAGCCTGCAAGGTACATTTACTACGCCATACCATAACATGTCTATCTGCGAATAAAAATCCCTAATAAATCCGAAACAAGAGATAAACATGAAAGAAAAATAGCTGTCATCTAAACAAGCCTTGCGAATTCCACTCGATATTTTCACTAGAGTGGGAACACTGACAACCGCGCCAATCGACTTATCGAGTTTAGTCGAGTTTTTGCCTGTCACTAGTTTCGTGAATTTTGGACGAAGCGGCTTTTGCGTGCAATTTTTGTCAGGGGATTTCAGTGAACTTAATCCTGAAATATTGAGTGCAATTCAGAAAGTTTTTGAATATTTAAACTTTCTAGTTGGACAGGCGGAGAGACGGAATTTTCTATTTTGTGGTGTTTGCGCTTTGTTACTTTGCAAAGTCATTTCGAGTGCGAATAAGTAATGAATTTAGAATTTAGTTTGATGGAATCATTTAACTACTTTATTAGCATGCCAATAAATTACACTGTTCGTACTGATAATGTTACATTGGCCATAAACGACTACCCTTCTGTAAATTATCGATAAAAATGACGGCACTATCGAAGGTTCGCTGACGTATTTCGAATCGTCCCCGGGCATTGGTTCACCAAGTCCAGTGGCGGGGCAAGACCTAAATTTGATGTGGGCAAGACAGATTTCGCGAGGCCCTGTTCTGTGGCGACCTGAAGACGGACTTCACAAAAAAAAAAAACAAAACAATTAGCTAAGTGTTTATTAATAAAAAATACAAATTAGAATAACATTAATGAAAAATTACAAAGCGAAATATATAGGTGGAGATGACAATACCAATAAATTAAACATCGACTTTCAAAGGATGCTTCCAGTCCAAAAAACAATTTTTTTTGTAATATGGCTTTATAGTATTGACGATGATTTTGCCAGCAATATTTATGCTGTCAATAAACTTTCGCCATTATATAAACTTTCAACTTTTCTCCTATTTTACCCCCATATTATGTGTATTATTTATAATAATTTTAGAATTATAATAGGAAATTATAATTTTTATTTGTATATTAAGAAATTAAATTCTGTATTAAAGGAAGAGAAATTTCCTGCTTTTAACTTTACTAAATTCCTCAATTATTTTATCATAATTTAGCCTAGATGCCATATCTGATTCAATGGATAAAACAGCCAAAGCCGAAAGTCTTTCCTGGCTCATTGTGTTTCTTAAATAATTTTTTATTAATTTTAATTTTGAAAAACTCCTTTCAGCAGAGGCTGTACTTACCGGAATTGTTAATAAAATTCGGATGACAATGTAAATATTTGGGTAAATTTGTTTTAAGCTATTTTCTGTTATATATGATAGCAGCTGTTTCACATCTATAATGGAGTTGGGTAAATTTGGGATCAATGTATTTAATTCTTCATATAATTCAAAAGGTTGGAAGTCACTGCTCTCACCAACACGCAGGACGTTATGTAAATCGTTACAGTGTTTTAATATTTGATCCCTAGTCATATTTTTTAGCTTGCTTAAATCATAGAGAAAACCGAAATCTTCAAAATGTTGATGTAAAGACGTAAATCTTAATTCCATATTGGTAATTATAGAATCAATCATAGCGTTAAAAAAATCTGTTTGATACCGGATTTTAGGAGACTGTATAGGTTGATCACTGCTTTCATAATCGAACATCTTTTTCTTTCTGGCTACTCTCTTATTCCTAAACTCTTTTGGCAGGTCATAACAGCTACGCTCAGTAAATTGCCGAACATCAGACAGGGATTTTTCAAATCCAGTTTCCCGGTACTCTTTTAACCATTCACAAAATGTGTGTAAATGTTTAAGAGCAATGCTTAAATGAATTTGTACCGATTGCCATAATTTACTAATTACATTAACACGCGATAATATCTCATACCACACATGTAAAGATAATATAAATTCTAAACTGAACATTTCATTTAATATCGAATCGCAATCGCTGAGAGTGTCTGATTGCACCGTTTGATTTTTTAAACTTTCGATGCATTCAATTACTTCATCAAATTGCAATAATACGGCCTTAACTGCTTCGACTCTACTTTCCCATCTTGTGTCTGATAAAGGTTTCATAGTAAGTTTTAATTTGCCTTTAATTAAATCCCAGCGTTTGCTTGAACTTGAAAATAGCAAATAAATTTTTTGTATGAAACCAAAAAAAGTTTTAGCTGCCATAGATGAATTCGCTGCATCTACCAACAGTAGATTCCAACTATGACAACCACAAGGGGTGAAAAATGCCCTAGGGTTAATATTCAATATTCGAGTTTTAACTCCACTATTTACACCTATCATATTTGCCCCATTGTCGTATCCCTGGCCACGGCAGTCTTGAATATTTAAATCATATTTTTCTAGGTGTTCCAGTATAGCATTGGCTAAATATTCTCCAGTTGTCTCAGTGACAGCAAGAAATCCCATAAAATGTTCGACTATTGTGCCAGTTGACGTATCACAAAATCTTAAGACAACCGACATTTGTTCAACTTTACTGCAGTCTCTAGTGCAATCGAGCAAAAAAGAATAATACTTTGCTTCTTTCTTTAACCTTATAAATAATTTCATCTACAACTGTTTTTGACATCAATATGATCAATTCATTTTGAATATCGTGACTTAAATAATGGTGTGAAAGTTGTTTGTCACTAATCCGTCTCATGTGTTCTCTTAAAGTAGGATCAAATTTGGATATTAGTTTAAATAAATCTATGAAATTACCGGAATTCTTAATAACGTCACCCGTCTTGAGAGTTTCTCTGTGACCTCTAAATGCAAGATTATGAGAGGCCAAAAAATTTATTATGTCAATTATTCTCTCTAACAAGTTATGCCAATGTTTTTGAGATTCACGTAATAGCCTTTCGTTTTCTTGGTCTATTGTTTTACCTTGATTTATTCCTTTCTCTAAAGTTAACCATTGGAACATATGTGCCATATGTTCTTTGGAATTCTCATGTCTATGTAAAATGCTACTTAAATGTTTCCAGTCACAACACCCTCCTTGCACCATCTGAGATTGTGAATTGCCAAATAGTCTGCATGGAAAACAGTAAACTTTATTTTGGGAATTGGAATAAACTAACCAGCGACGATGTTGAGTTTCACCATTATTTAGTTTTCTCGAGAAATAGAAATTGGAAAAGTGTCTATGATCATCACCTTTGGGATAACATTCATCACCGCTATTTATTTGCTGTATGGGGCCCCTTTGTACTATGTCACGACGCTGTGAATCCGTTATGGGAAACGTCCAAAATCCCGGATCTGAATTAACAAGAACTTGCTGAACTATGGCACTGGCATCGTTGTTGCGAATTGGATAATCAATGTCAATCTGTTCTTCTTGATTGCTTGATGACAGCACAAAAGTTTCAGCGTCATATTTCGATTGGCTAGAGGATAATCCAAACTCTACGTCTAACTGACATTCGCTCTCGGTATTCAGTGCATCGAGGGCATTTTCCAACGGTATCTCGGACGTTTGTAGTGTAGAAGTTGAATCTATCGATTTTGTACTACCAGATGCAGTTTGGTTGAGGAACTTCATCATATTTAAACTCAAAACCTGGTTGGATGCAGTTCTTTCAGCTTTTCTTTTTCTTTTTGCTGATCCAGACTCCCATTTTCTTCCAACATCTCTATCGCGGCCGGACATGTCGATAATATCGTATTAGTAACCTGTAAACGAAAGCAATAACATATTTGTTTTAACATATTTGTTTTTGCAGTTTTATTTACATAATGTTGTAAAACCTACATTTAAACTGTCAAACACCAAGCGGTCACCGGTGACCGCGACCCATTGTTCTTTAATTGTGTCTATAAAACCGGTACTCGACGAGTTAAATTAGTTTTCAAACAAGAATCTTTAAGAATGTATTGCTACTGTGACTGTTTCTGGCCTACCCTAGGCTGGATGAAATTTTAGTTTTTCCTAAATCAAGGAGGGATAAACATCGGCTTACCCTTTCGTGGAAAATGGGTAAGGAACTGGGCTCCTCCATCCACACAGCTCTGTAGAGCTCGTCCATCTACTGGTCACTCTCCCACCGATTCCGACGTTTCACGGGATGGGTAATGAATTCCCAATAAATAACATAACTTATTTTATTAATTTATTCATTATGTTATTTATGTTATCAAAAGCAAACACAAAGGATCAAGTGGGAATTCACGGGGAAAGGATGTATTATATATATATTACTAGTGAAATGAGATGAGAGGGCAGCAAACGGAAAGGGAAGGCAGTGCACTCACAGGAGCACACTCCGGACATGCAAAGAAATAATACCAACAGCTGATGGTCTTGCGTATGTGCCTCCTCAACCCAATCACCATTTCTATACGGGTGTCTCGCTCACCATAGTATATGTCGTCGAAGAGTTTAGGTATAGCAAAGCCATAACGGCGTTGTTAGGTTAAGACGAGACACTTATATATTCACCCTACCGTTCTTCACAGACTAGCATAAGCATTGCTTATTCTAAGCAAAATCCGGGAGTACCCATACAACAAGCTGATACAGTGGAAAGTAATATTCCGATTCAGTTAAAAGGAATAAAGACAGAGGTAGGATAAAACCCTAGCCTATAATAAAACCAAAAATACATACCCGTATACTGCTCTCACGCTGCTACCCACCAGATTTCCACACTACACACTGAATTTACTTTGTGTTGCCAAATCCTAAGGATCAGTTAGACTAGAGTCTATCCTAGACAACCTTTCGTCTCCGCAGTCCAAGAGTAAGTGTCCTATCGTTTCCATAATATTTCTAATATCTCCTCGCCAAAGGCCCTTTCCCAGGCCTCTGCAGTCCGGGTTCTATGACACCCTTTGTGCAATATCTTAATTGTTTCTAGGGACCTTTCACTGGTCAGTATTATTGCGTTTGGTATTTTGTTGTGCGCCTAATGGCTCCACGTATTCTTAAAGATCATTTAACAAGTTACAACTCAATTGCCCATTAGTTATTTCTATTCGGGCTCCCATAAAATATACAATGAAAGTGTAACACGTGGTTCATTGGAAAGTTAATATTCTAAAACATTGTGATGCCTTTTGTATATATTTTTAGGGGTACCTGATGGACAGTTACACTACCAACTAGTTTTTAAAACTTAAATAATCGTTTAGTTTTTTACCGTTATAAAGCTTTGGTTTCCACGCGGGTGGAGCCGCTGCCAAAAGCTAGTAATTTTATATACAAGTAATTACTGCGTTATTTATTTATTACCAATTAATTGTTTCTTACCTTATGTTAAATAGACCAGTACAGGTGCCGGGTGTCAAAGAAATCAAAAACCATTAGCTTAGTCACTGTTGGCTCAGTTTACAGGAGCAATCAATATCTACACACTAGCTATTTATTCACTAAATATTATTAAAACATTGAACATACTATTATTAGAAAATTGGTACGTATAGTCATAAAAACAAACAATATTGAATAAAAAACCACGTTTCTACTGTTATGCGCCTAGCGACTGCGTTGCATGTGTGTGGTAAAACAAGGGATTCCCCGAACTGGTCGACGGCGGCAAGGCGCAACGTAAGCAAATGTTACCGAACTAAAAGAATATATTTCACACCAAAAATATATTTTATGTATTTTTTTTTTATTTTATTCTCTCTTTGCAACAATGCATAATTTTTTTGAGGCGCGAGGCCCCTTGTGCCGCGAGGCCGTAGGCGGTGGCCCACGTCGCCCACGCCTTACGCCGCCTCTGACCAAGTCGGTTCCATTTTCAAATTTACGACTGAACCAATGGCCGTAACGGACGGTTGCCGACACCCCTATACTTTATCGATATAGCTTTGATTTCTTACTGGGAATTTATGGTACAGTTTCTATTGAAAATTACTTTTGGAACTGTAGTAATAGGTAGTGATGTTATTTTAAAAAATTTATAAGAGATAGGTTCTCTGTTTAAGATATGTATTTTTATCCCTTTGACTGTGGTTACACTAAGCAATGATTTTTACTTTTCTTTATCCTGATCAATTTTGATACTAAGAAGAAGATTTTGGAAAGAAAGTCCTCTATACAGATAGATGGAATTGTAGTGTCTGTTTGTAATACATATTAAAATAATTATTAACCTTCCATGTGTTTACGCTTATCAACGCGAGATACAATGTATTTTATATTAGGTCTCTTATCCGTGCATATTAAATATACATATATTCATATGCATATAGTATACGATATATGATACACATACCAAAATGAAAAAAAATATGATCTAAATTTCATATTTTACGCGGACAACGTCGCGGGCAACAGCTGGTACAAAAAAAAATTATACAAATAACAGAAGCATAATTTGGCAAGTTTCTTCAGTCAAGAAGGGATGAGCGACGTCTTGCAGGGAGGGGAACCTGACAGGCATTCAGACGTTTAATCCGTTCGTCTGGTTGGCAGCTATCGTAGGACGTAAGCCCAGCACTTGTAGACTTGCCAATTATTATGCAATGCATGTAAACTGCTGGTGTTAGGATTACCCAGTTCACTGACAAGCTGTAGGTATTAAGTTCTGTTAAGGTATATTGGGGGCGCGTCGCGTTCTACGCGCGCCTCAAAGACCCATCAGACCACCACAGATGGGCCCGGTAGGGCTGATGCCTCCGGCTCGAAGAGCAGGAGTAGGAAAGGGGTGGTTTTTAGTCAGTAAGAGTATGACACTCCCTCTCGCCTAACTCAAGGCGAGAGAAGTCATTGGATGATTTTCTCAGCTCAAAAAAAAAGTATATTGGGTATGAGGAAAATCGATGGTTCATTCTTTGATTGACATAATATGAAATCTAGCAGAATCACTGACAGTTTTGAAAACCCACAGATAGATTTAAAGCCAGCCCCTACCCCGAGCTCTCAACCACAAACAATCATGACACAGCCGCAAAACTTGAAACAGTCATCAAATCGCACTTAACCCCCAAACGCTGACCGCTTTAAAACATAATCGCCGGGCGTAATCAATCATTGCAGCTGGCAATTGATTGCCGCTAGCCGATTGCTATCACCTTGTGAATGCAAACTATATTGATTGAGCCGGTCCGCACGGAATTTGCAATTAGCGCGGCCGGTACGCTTCTAATTGCGTTCTCCCGTTCATTCATTCACTCGTTCACCGCTTTGTTGCTGCGCTTTTGTGATAGCGCTTTAGGGTTAGGTTTTATGTTTCTTTGGACTCTTGTTTCTTTATTCTTCGCTTTGGTTTTTAAAAATCCTGTCAGTAGATCTGGGATTTTCGTTTCAGGTTTTTACAGGTAAGTTTTAGATGCTCTTTATAACACCTAAGTTTGGAACATTTGAAAAACATATACCATTTCCACTGACATATCCCAATAATCTTCGTCATTATAGTGCATGGTAATTTCATACTTGTCTTAGATTCCATAAATGCAAATGGCACAAGATACATATAAATGTAAACTACGTCCAAACTTGAACCAGGTTCAGACCAAGACCGAGGATCCAATAACAAAACGGTGTCAGCATCAAATATGCAAATATCAGGCAAGTCAGCCAGCAATCAAGGTGTGAATGTCCACTGGTGCGGAACAATGCACTCTGACGTACAGATAGACACATTTTGTATGTGAATGTATTGACGGAAAGCCTGATAATAATAGAAATTGTGGACTTTGAAGAGATATCTACGTAAACAGAAAGGGGTCTGTGTACCTCTGAAACCCCATGAGGAGGACTTATTAGATCTTGTAATTAGGACAAAAAAGTAGGAGAAAGGTCCAAAAATTTTGAAGCACCTATGATGTAATTTTGGAATGCTACATTCGTTCTGCTAAACCGCTCTACTTGAATTTTTTTCATGTTTTCCAGATACGGTACGGTAGATGGAATTTGTATTTCGTATCGTGCACAGAATGGTGTATTTCCTTTTTGCTTGCTTTCGGTTCAATTTTGACAGCAGTTAGATATATGGAGGCCTCGCGGAATTTCTAGTAAACACTACCTTCGTATGAAACAAAGTTAAATTAATGTCAGGGATTCTGTGACAGTCATTAAAAGACTAAACAGTTCAGTTGCATTAACATGAACATGTCTAGTCAGTTTCTGCTATTTAGAATGAATTTCTTTACTATGTCGCCTCAACAACTTAGGCTCTCATTGTTAGTACACATAGATATATCATTTTAACATATGCATGAAATAAAGGGCTACAGAATTAAATAAATAATAAAATAAAAACTAAACAGTGCTATCTTTCAAAAGAAATGAGAACTAAACGGTAACGTCTTTATATTGCGGTCAACAGATGTCGCTACTTACCCTCAGTGTCGCTCGTGTCTGACAGCGGAGGCTCATTCGCGATGTATTGTCTGCCACTCAGGAGATTGCTCTCGACGACTGGCCGTTTGTCTTCGAGCTGTCTCCTAAACGCGCGGTGGTCATCCTGGAATGGAAATTTAAAGTTATAGCTGTAGTCGTCGTGTTCTAGTTCTAGGTATAAAGTACCTAGGACAAGATGAAACATTGCATATCCAGTAAATATATTGCTTTGAATTAATAGGGATAAAAACCAAAAAGGGTTCAGTAATACTTTGAAAATACAAATCACCTAAAGAAGACAGTAATCTGATTTAGATTATTATTAGCAATCTAATCAAATTGATCAATTCCCAAAGAAATACTTGTAATGGTCTTGACTAAGAATGCCCTAACATTGTTAGTTTAATAAAATACCCACCAAGAACCCATATTTCCCGAACATTAGCCACAAAATTCGATTAGGACCGATTATCCGAACCCTTAAACGCTTGTTAACATTCCACACATTCCCGCCACTAAGCTCTGAATTTTGTTGCTCTTCAGTCACTATAAAGTCGAGGGTAGAAGCTCAGTACCCTTACAACCGAAGAACAATAGTTAATTTAGAAAACTACAATACATAGGTATTGTGAATAGATAGTACCTATGTATCCTTCTATTACAAATCAAAGTTTTCGAATCATACATATAAAAATTATCATGGGTGTGGCAGAAGAAGCATGAAAGCAGGATTAATGCGGTGGAAATGAGAGCCCTGAGAAGTATGTGTGGACTAAAATTGAGTGATAGAGTGAAAAATACTGTTATTAGAGAAAGGTGTGGATTGAAAGATGATGTAGTGACAAGGATTGAAAATGGGAATGTTACGCTGGTTTGGGCATGTGGAAAGCATGGATGAAAGTAGAGTAACGAAAGAAGAATACAGAGCGGATATCAAAGGCGCCGACGGTAGAGAGCGCCCTAGACGGACATATAGTGACCAGATCGGCTATATATTTAAGAAGGGCCAAATTAAAAGTACTCTTAACCAACGAGCATGCATGAAAAGATTGATGACCGTTGATGAAGCGAAAGAGATATGTAGGAATCGTAGTAATTGGCGTTCCCTAGTCTCTGCCTACCCTCATGGGAGACAGGCGTGAAGTTATGTATATATGTATGTACAAACAAAAATTTTCAATTGCCTACATCATCATCATTACAGTTTTAAGCTAAAAACAGATTTTCTAAGTAGGTAAGTTAGTAATAGTTCCAATCTCGTCTTCTGCCTTCATTTCTAATTCATACGCCAGTGCATAGTGAGCCTTCTATATTCATCTGTTTTGTTTCTAAACTTAAAATGGCGTCGGTAAGCGGTTGATTTAGCCGCGATCCGCGGATTAGTTCGGCCAAATTGTTTATCGTCGTATGTAAATTGTTGACTCTCGTGCCGATTTACGATCACATTGTTTAGGACTTTAACTTCAATATTAGTTATAGGATCTGTTACTAATATGTATATTTACTATTGTTTAATTTTAGAGGTCAAGTCTGTAAATGACTACATGACGACCAACACGCCTTATAATTTTTTTTTAAACATCTCCATCTTTAAAGCACAGTGAAAAAACCCAAAGAAAATTGTAAAATCAAAATGAAACGAGTATTTCTTTTCTCTTAAGTTCCAAGTGCAAACAAACTGAAAGAGATAATGACTTCTATGATATAGCACTTCACTATTCTTAGGTACTTCAAAAGCAATAAAAACAAAAACGTATTCAACAATTCAGTATCCAGGGTTCCTCGGTTTATTCCTAGCTTCTCTTATAGCAATTTGAAACAAGTTGCTAGCTAACAATTACTCTTGGTCGAATTGCTTAGTCGGCCATTTTGAGGTGAGAGCTGTGACCAAAATGGCATCGTTTAGCGCGACGAAGACCATAACTGTCCGTGTGTCCGTATCTGTCGGTGCTAAAATTCAAACTAAGGTTATAAAAATTATATTTTACTTCGATTTCTATAGTACTTTAAGATATCCTGTAACTATAACATTGTCTGATAAGTCGTACGGTTCTTTTTACATTACTTTCATGTTCACTTAGCTATTTATCCATTGAATACCTAGGTGGTCCCAAACCATTGCATATCTTTACTCCCCCTGTCTACGATTATGTTATTAATCAATTTTTTATTTAACTAACAGAGATATTTAAATTTTGATAGATATTTATATGAATAATGATAATATCATCATACCTGTTGTTTGAGCAGTGCCGGCAGGTCACCCCGGGGAGGTGCGAGGGCGTTCAGCTCTGTCTCCTTCCTGATCACCCACTCAGTGAGCTCTCTCAGTGACAGCAGCAATGCTGACCAGTGCTCAGCATTACTCTCCAGCCGGTTTCTGTAAAGAATTCAGAACGTATTGTTAGTGGAAAGGTTATTATGACAATCGATAATACATTACATATTCATTGTCATCATCATCATCAACAGCCTATAAATGCCCACTGCTGAGCAAAGCCTCTTCTCACACAGAGAAGGTTTGAGCATTAATCATCACGCTTGCTCATTGCGGGTTGGCGATTTCAAACTAATAATTAGAAATTATAAGTCCAGGTTTCCTCACGATGTTTTTCTTACACCGTTTGTCAGTGGTGTCTAAATACTCTTAGAAAGTACATATAACTCGAAAAAAGTCACATTGGTACTTGCCGTTGGTAGGTTTCGAACCCATTCCTGCACCCGTTCATGCATGAGAAGCGGGCGACCTCCAGGCCCACGACATATTCATTGTAAGGATTGTTAAATAAATTAGCTGTACTAATATTTATGGCAATTACAGAACCTAGAAACGAAATTCTCGACTTATAAACTTTTATAAACTCTGTCTCGAGCCGAGAATTTAATGACAATTGACACAGTTAGTTAGTTATACAGTTAATTATATAATTATGTAGGTACTAACAATGTCATCGTACTCAAGTATACATATAGATAGACACATGAATGAATGACATCATCCTTCAGAACTAAAACCAAGAGATCCCCTCATTCACGAGATCGCAATAAAGATAATCCTCAATAAAATGAAGACGTATAAAGAAGTGGGGTAGGCAGAGTACGGCGATAACTCAAAAAGTTGGCACACACAAAAAGAGAGTAGAATTGTTGAAAGGTCTGCCGTTGTGATACGGAGGGATTTTGGACAGTGGTAGTGGTGGGATATAAGTATCGATGAAATTAAATCTTCAAATGTGGAATACGTAAGCAAATTATTAAGGTACATACATAAACCTACTGAAATATTTTCATCGATATCGTTATGTAGTTGAAATGTTCGTCACTATCTTTAGCTAAGTTTCAATTTAAATGTAAACCAAGTATTCCTGTAGTCTTAATAAGTTTTCTTGGTTATAATATTATGACTTCAAGATTTTTGTTTTCCGAGCTTTCTTTAAATAGTTACCTATTTCAATCTAAGTTTTTTGGCTACTAAAAGTGGAGCAACTAACTTAGTACAATAACATCTTGTTTTACACTTTAACACACGAATTAATTACAACACACTATCGCTACAGCATACACGAAAGGAATTTCAAACCGGCATACTATGGGATCCCTTCATAATCCCTAAAGTTTGACAGCAAGTGATACAAACATGGCGGCCTAGGGTGGGGTCACACAAAGGGCGAGTAACCACAGGACCCACCTGGGCACAAACCACAGGACACAAGTTCAACATAAACCGTAGCGGTCGGTGGGACCCCACGTCACCACAGAGGGGCCCTGGCTAAAACTCAGGTATTCGAGGGTTAATTTTTAATAAGATTATAGTTTCGCTTGTGTTTGGATGACAAGAGATGTATGTAAATATTTCATTAAAGATTGTATCTTTTGTTTTGATTCAGATTAGAATTATAATTGACCACCTTATACCCGTCTACCATAAGTTACTTATCTTTGTCCTCTCAAAGAGTTAAATGTAATTGAGAGAGTCTATTTACAGTTTATTTAGTCTTTTTAAATATAAAACATGAATAAATATCTCAATCCTAGTTTTAATGAGAAATCAACCATTTACAACTTTTGCTTCTTTTACCAACCTCCCTAGAGACTTGAAAATAGTGACATTAGCAATTCCAGAGTTCTATTCCGCCATGACGCGATGTGATGCTCCATAAACCTCGTCACCATAAGAATTTAACCGCTGTCGTGAATGCGTACTACCGCGGGCTATTGCCGGCTTTATTACCCACTTTACATGTGATAGCAATGATAAAACTTCTACAATAGCTTCTGAGGAAGGCGAATAAAGCATCTTCAATTCCCCGTGGATTGGTGGTGAAGTAGTTGCAAATAAAAATAGAATTGATAGTTTATGAATATTTAGAATTTGATTGTCTAAATGAAATGTAGACTAGTTAAGAAGTTACTGTGCTTATAAACTCTCTTATTGAGAAATATATTTTCGTAGCAAATTTTGTTTCGCTTAAAAAATAAACAAAAAACCTCAAGAGGCAGTTTTCTCAAGAGCTAAAATACCTACTTATATACTTCACTTACTCCGAGGTGAGGTGCAAATATCAGCGATTTACACGACCGCCGACACTTGCACCGCACCCCAACCTCTATAAAACGCGCTCTGCATGCGTGTCGGTATAAACCAGCGGCTGTTTAGTGGTATAAAACTGTAATAATACCTCTTTATATCATTTTATCGCCACATTTTATGATATATGTCATATAACAACTATATGGTAGGTATACCTAGTAATATAGCATTTAGCAGATGGTAAAAAGACACATGAATAGTTCTGATTGAAAAGTATAGAGCCTTAGTATCCGTTTGTTTCTTTGTCATTGGTTGGTTCATTGAAGCCGGCCAATCACAGCGGCGAACGCGTACTCGTTTCAATGACTATGAAGGATGAGTAAATTAGAATGAGTTTCTTAATTTTATTTATATTCTAATGGTACCTATACTTGAAGACAATGACACTATGACCAGCTCTGATTCAAATATACAGTCTATGAATGGGTGGAATGTAGAAATTAGTTCCTCAAAACAGGTTAAGAGATGCAGCGACTGATAAATTGTTCGTGGTTTTAAACTACATAATGTAAAATTTTTATTTGAAAATAAAAGTACAATCAGACAGACTATTATATTTTTACTTAAAAGCTTTTCCCTATAGAACATTTTTCATCACAACAAAACAGTCCAACCGCTTTAATACACTTCTGGCTACCCCTCAGAGGAAATCAGACGTGAAATTATGTTGAAAAACAAAACTCCTCCAATCCTTTTAAGAGCAAAAAGGGAAAAATCCGATCGGATTAACATGAGAATACAGCTAAACAAAAGCAAATATAATTTACATAGATGGCACGTCATAATTGAGAATGAACGGTCGACGGTTCGATTCCCGGACGGGAAACACTCCAGATTTATTACACATTGTTAAGTTTGAATGATTAATTCACTGATCGGTTTCGGGCTATGAGTGGAGCCATGAGAACAGCGGATAAAACGCAGAAATAGGAGATGACTAGTAAAAAATTAAGTGTCCATCTTGTGAAATTGAGGAACTCTAATAGTTTTAATATTACCCAAATTAAATTAATATCGAACAGCTTAATTGACATTTCTAACTAACAGAATCCTAAATATGTAGCTATGAAAACGGAATATAATGAAAAATTTTCAGTAAAACTCAAATAAAACTACATTGACTCCGTACTTGGATACGAGATTCCGATAAAATTTTTACTCTAACAATTCTCATCGGGAAAATTCTCCGCCGGATTTCTGGCTCAAAATTAAAATGGCCGCCGATATTAAGAATGACCGTTACACGGGCGAAAATTTAATTTTTTACCGAAGGATTATTTATGGAGTCAGCGATCGGTGCCGCGCAAATAAATCTACTTGTTTGCGATTCCGACTTAATTGAAGAACGTACCTTTTTAACAAATATTTGCGTACGAACGGATATAACTAGGATTAATAATGTACATTGAATTCTACGTAAATTGCACTTTTAACTTTAATCTTATTACTGAACGGTAAATATTGTAATACCATTACAATTTGGCCATTGAGATTCACAATCTCATCTTTGTTATTTATAGTCCAATCAAAACAACTTGATCCTTTAATAGATTTACTATTCTAATTTCCGAAACCTTCGACTGTTATCACCACAAATAAACTCAATAGATCAAAACTATCTGTTTCCTTTCACAATAAATTCTATTATTATTACGACTAATACCAAAGTCAATTATTATAGTCCCGATTATATCTCAAAAGTCCCTTTTGACATAATAACAGTAATACTATTAATAATATCAGACATAGTTCGCAAAAGAACGTTATCTATTAAAATAATACGGTAAAAGAAAGTGCCAGTAAGTACATAAATTCCTTTTACAAAGTGAATATCTAATTTTCTATTAATTGACAACCCTGAGTCGCGCCAACCCTTTTAACGTTGGAGCGAGACACAGCTATTTAAAATCCAAACTGTAAAGCGAGACAGAAATACATTTTTAGTTTTAATAGAAGTTTCACGAACATTTTGACTGATGGAATTCATTGGAAGAATTTGGACTTAATCAAATTAATATTTTGTACAGTCGAGTTGTCATTGGAATTGATATTCATAAAGTATCTACTTGATAAATGGTGTGAAATAACTAAATTATTATTCATACCTTAGTCTGATAACGCAATAAATAAAAAAGGTCGTATCACCCCTTGTTGTAAATGGATCCAACAGACAGACAGTAATGCCAAGCCCTATTAATGGTTTTCATTTAAATCTAAATCTTAATTATCTTTTAAACTGTCAAACACCAAGCGGTCACCGGTGACCGCGACCTATTGTTCTTTAATTGTGTCTATAAAACCGGTACTCGACGAGTTAATAAAGTGTGAAATTGTTTGACATCGTTGTCTTAGAACTCCATCAGTTTCACCTATGAAGCGACATATTTCCCTTATTACTTCATGTGTGTCCCATGTTTTCCAACGCCATAAATAACACTTAATGGCCTGTTTTTGTTCAGCGTCTGTAAATACGTTGAACTTTTTTAAAGTCCCATGTGTGGGTGAATTTTGAGGGTTAATTTAAAGTCTGGCTTTATAAGGTTTTACTCAATATTATGTGATATGAAAGTCTATTCATCACATCTTATAACATTATAATGTTAAAGTAGTTTAAAAATGCGCGATGGGTCACTTTGCATTTTTTTAACCTAACCTTTACCAAGAATTTCTTGATTACTACTGTAAGTTTGCATTTGACGACCAAAAAGACAGCAGTACCAATTTATCTTGTGTCAACCCTAAAATCCAATCTACAAAATAAGTACAGGAATAATTGGCCAACACCAACCACAAACCTTATCCAAAGATCGATCTAACCCAAATAGAATTAGCTCTTCAATTTATTTCCTATCAAAAACCTTTAGTAGTATACATTTTATAGGGGACTTTACAACTCTGCTCCCCCCTCCCTAGTGGGGGTGCGATGTTGTGACACTTCGCAAATTAATTCCTGGTCCAGCAAAATGAGTTTCATTTTCTACTTTTAGTTTGAAGGTGGTTCCAGAACTTTCTATAGAAAATAGTTCGCACCTGAATATGAATTTTCTGTATGCACTTTTGTAACTTTCCGCTCAGAGTTTTGACGTTTTATTTAGTTGGACGTAACACCTATTTATACTTAGAGTGGGTGCCAGTCAGCTGGGTGTATATTTTAATTTCAATATTTTTTAATAATACATAAAAAATAGTTTTCTTTAAAAGATGTTCTGTAACTTCCTTAGCTTTGGTAATTAATTCCCATCAACGATCAAGACACTAATTCCTACTACATAAATTGCCATAAACGTCAGTACACGTATCTATTCGAGCCTCAGTACATTAATGGCAATTAGAGCGAGCAACCAGTGACGTAATTGGTTTAGCAACCAGTCGCCGCAACGGGTTGCAGTCGCGATCGCCGCCGGGCAACGGGCCGGTTATTGGGTTAGTGGACATATTGATTGTTTTAGACGAATCTGCCTGGAATACCGGCTGTCCAATAACATTTGGAATATATGCGATATTGGAAACCAACATTTTACATGTCACTGAGTTTCTTTTTACTTATTTTCAAAACACTGCTTTTTTCACTTCCGATTAAGTTTTTGCTAGCTTTACTGGATTAACAGAAACATCGTTAGGAGTAAAGAACTCAGACATTTTACTAGATCTAATTCCAGACTCCAAGTTATTACTTACAATTTCGATGTTACACTTAATACTTATTGTTACACTTAATACTTATTACTTCCACTTAGCACTACATGTCGTACCTATCTATAAGATAGCAGAACCAAATAAAGGGGATGAACTGAAATACAAAGTACAATCGAAAATGACGACACAATAAAGTCTATCTGAAGTAAGACACTCACCTGATGGCCATGCTCTTGGCTTTGAGATGATGCCACCGCTGGTTCATCTCATCGAGCCTCCTCTGCAGCATGACGGCATCCTCCTGTGAGGACAGGGAGCCGAGCAGCCGGCGGCCTGTCCCCGTGAGCGACGCGTACACATCGCGGTGTGTCTCGATCTCTGATTGAAGATCCTGGAACAAGGAAATAAGGATTAATACCGTCATTATTATATCCACCGTTGAACAAAGAGAATGACTGCTGTAATCTCCACGATTGAGATGCGGCTGTTAGATATACGGTTTATTGATTACACCAAGAAGTTTGATTTTCAGAACAGTTTTAGCTCATAGATGCGGTGAACTAAAACTTATTTAATTTTTTTATGAGATAAATCCGGTAAACGAGCTGACGGATCACCTGATTGTAAGCAATCGGAGTCGCCCATGGATATTTGAAACACCAGAGCCGTTACACGTGCGTTACCGACCTTTTGGGGATAGGAATTTGAGGATTATTGGAGATTCAAGGTTTGATTGGAGAAGGGGTGGGCGGGGTAATTGGGCCTCCGGTAACCTTACTCACACGACAAAACAAAACGCAAGTGTTCTTTCACTTCGGTTTGTGGTTCATATCCACTTTCAGTTTGATATCCATGAGACGCATCGGGTTTCATAGTTTTGATATTATATTGGTATTGGTCAGTCACTGTTGGAGAACTTGACTTAAAGGAGTTGCAGTAGATGAAAATCCCAAAAATTATTGTCAAGTATACATACGTAGATCCAAAGCTCTTGCACCGGATCGAAGTAGAGAACGCCCACTTTATGCGTATCATAAAATATATCATATTCATTGTTATCGTTCAAATAAGCACAGAACATGTTTAATTAGATCTTAATAATTTAAGGGATTTTTAGTTCACAAAACTGGACAGCCAGAACGTTTTGAAATCACGTTTACAACGAAACAAAGGTTTTCGATGATTAACCTTTTTCATTGACAGTTATAGAAGTGTGTTTACGAGTTTTGTTCTATTGTTTAACACCATGACTGAAATAGACAAAAGAATAACAGTATAATATTATGACGACACATTTTTGAGAACTCCGTTAACTCGCCAAAAATTGCGATGTTTTTTTTTTCTTCAAACAACCTAGTATAAGTTGGCCACTTCTGCCCAAAGGCCCCTTCTCAATCACCACGCTTGCTCAATGCTGCGATTTCAGACTTATAATTAGAACTTAAAAGCCCAGATTTCCTTCACCGTTTATCCGTGGTGTCTAGATAATATTAGAAAGTACATAACTCGGCAAAAGTCATTGGTACTAGCCGTTGATAGGTTTCAAACCCGCGCTCTCGTGCATGCGAAGCGGGCGTCTTAATCCATTGGGAATCTTTCAATTAATATCAGAAAGACTACATTAAATCAGTACGAAGAAAATCACCAACTACTAGACTAATACAAGAACAACATTGTTTCATTTACCCACGTAGGTACAGAGCTATGTATCAACAATGGCGGCCATATTTTCTTTCCATCCGCAGTAAGAGAGCGCACTGATTCCATTACTCCTAGTATTTACTGGTCGGTACTGTGACGGTATGCTATGCATTATTCATGCTGTGGTTTCATAGAACGTAGATATTATATGTCAGAGTGTATGAGTAATGGATGGAGGTAGTGATAGGAAAGGGGTTGATAAGAAAATACGTTACTGTAATAGTAACGATTGTAGTTTCGGGGTGATTTAACTGTTTTTACTACATGATGTGGTTTCAATGTTTGCTTAGACTCCTAACATTGAACTAACATCAATGATTTTCTTTTTCATAGACGATTTATAGACATGGTAATAGTTATGATCATCATCGTTTACCCTGTTTAAGTCTTTGACATACAATAATGGAAAGTCGTTGAAGGGAAATCCTCCAATAATGTAGGTCACCGGCAACCACCAAGGCGTTTATCGTGTTAAGGTGCCATAGATAGGCATATACTTATTACAAATTATTATGACTATAAATACAATATTTCCGCATCAACCATAACAATAACACTTCTAGTTTTTGTCCACAGTCTCAGTGAGAACACTCGGTCAGGAATAAGTGCTCCATTTGTAGAACTTTACCGTGGTAGCCATTTACCGACATTGCGACGAAATTGTCGGGTATTACCGTTCCAGGTTTTGCGACTTGTCGTTCATTTGTTTGTGGTGGTTTAGAAAAAGTTATATTATAGTTATATTTTAAGCGTGGGAGAGCCATGCTTCGGCACGAATGGGCCGGCTCGACCGGAGTGATACCACGGCCTTACAGAAAACCGACGTGAAGCAACGCTTGCGTTGTGTTTCGTCGTGTGAGTGAGGGTACCGGAGGCCCAATTACCTTCCCTTTCCCCAATCTCCCCAATCCCTGAATCCCCAACGATCCTAAAACTCCTAATCCCCAAAAAGTCGGTGACGCACTTGTAACGCCTCTGGTGTTCCAGGTGTCCATGCGCGACGCCGATTGCATACCATCAGGCGATCCGTCTCCTCGTTTACCGGCTTATGCCATAAAAAAAATACGAATCACTTGATGTTGATATGCAAGGGTTTTAGATCTGTTGTTAGTATTATTGCTAAGAGGGCGATGAGGACATTACTGTGTGAGTATCACATATTCCTCTTTTTGGTCCATATTAATATCTAGAGTCGTCGAGAGTAGTCTACTTATCTTATTAGTATTTAATTCTTCTGCTGAAAAGCTGGGTTTGATTTACATTTGAGGAAACAGCATAGTTTTTCTTTTTGAATATGATGCTAAGCTATACAGCTTTAAAAATGACAACTCATCCCGTTAACACCGCAATATTCCCAAATGAGACTCGGCCTGTACTTGGCCACTAACCCGTGTTTACATCGGCCGGGCCAAACAACAAGTTTAATTATTGACCGAAAGTTTGTTAAACTCATGAATAACTGATGCCTGTGTAACTCGCAACACAAACACTAAGACACTGTTTACCCATTTTCTAATTAACGGATTGAAGGATTCAATGGTGTCGATGTGCCTACGTGTAGGACGTGAACTGATGTGACTCGCTTTATGAAAGTACCTGCAATCATATTGTTGGAGGGGCTATTGTGGGGATTCTTAGTTTGTCGAATACTTATGTTTGTATGTTAATTTATGTGTGCTTTTAAGGAATTTTCAAGTAATGTGGTGGTGGTATCGGGGATGAGACTACGTCTAAAGTAAATTACACAAGGGTGGCAAACAAAAAATATAATCTTTAATTTTCCCTATAAGGAAAAGCAGACAATGCAAGTTGGTTTTAACATTATAATAAAAATATAATATTTTTTAAGTAATTTAACTTCCTCATTGTACTCAGCCATTGTTTTAGAAGGCACTAGTTTGTTTAAACTGAGTATCTATACAGGGTGCTGCAATAAACGTAGTAAGGGCTGTGTACACAGCTTACCTAGTGGCCGACCCGACCCTTAGTAGTGAGCTAGTGATGCGAAATGTCGATAGTTTTACTTTAATGATAGTTTTATCGAACATCGTACGCGAAACCTTGAATTGAACAGCTTCATGGAACTACTACATAGGTAATATTGATAACATTGAAATGCTCGTACCGTTTATATTTTAACTTTCACATCAATTCATATGGCACTGTTTGGGTACCAATTTAAAAATAAAAAATAAATAAACATTCTGATGAAAAAAAAAGCTAATGTGTACTGAGCATAACGCACAAGACAATTTTGACTGTTTAAAATTGGAACAAATTGTTGGAATTCTATCGACATTTTCAGCAAACATCGATAAAACCCAAACTCACTACAAAATCACTATACCGATAACCCCAGGCAATATGGATGTTGTTTACCCTAGCTATCGGCGCCTCACGCGCAGTCTTTAATAATACGAAGGGTTTATTATAATAAGGCCGCTTTAATACCAAGACTTTCCTTTGTTGTTCTTGTAAAGGTGCACGGCGTTGAGAGGTTCAAATCAACCTGTTTGGGGGTAGAATGGACCTTGCAGTTCCTATGGTAATAGGAGGGGAGATTCTATCTGCTGAATTATCTTCTATGGCGAGGTCGTCGGTGAATCTTTAGACATAATGTCTTTATTTTAAGTGAGGTGAGTGACTGATACGTTTTTGAACCTACTTAGGTGAAGTATTGTTCGAAAAATGAAGCGAGGAAGAACCCCTCTGTGGTGCGAAACTAGTAGAACTTTTCTCAGTATATTTACTTGAGTAACCCGCAATTTTTAGTTAATTTAGTATTCTCACGATAGTTATTATAAAAACAGTAGTAGGTAAAGGTTAACGTTCAAATACCAATTACATACATTATTGATACTAGGAGCAAAGCCTTTGTAAAGCGAGTCTTAAGTCTACATAGGTAAGTATTCTTTATTCATTCTTTTGGGATTAAATTCATAATTAATAACATACCATCACGCCTTTTATTCGCGAAGTGCTAGGCAGAGGACACACATTTACGACAGTTAATGCCACTTTACAACCCACTTTTCACTATTTATGTTATGATTCCCATTTAAAAGGGGGTGAGCTTATTATCATATATCGGACACGATTTTATACTTCATACTACTAATGAGATTTTTTTTTAAAAACCCAATTCTAAATACTTTTAGGAGACCCCTTTCCCGGCAGTCGCACTTGCGACCACTCGGCCAACGAGGCAGTCAAAATTCGTAATTAATCTTAATACGTATGAATACAATTAACATGTAGTTTTAGAGTTTACGCTTATGTAAATGCACTTAAGAATATGTTCATGTTATAATCATCAAAAAAAAAAACTCTCAGTAGTAGCACGGAGTCTGGTATTGTGCCCACCCCCCTATTACATGGGACTCATAACATAAATAGTAAAAAGCGGGTGTTACATTTTACAGTGGCATAATCTGCACCTCTGCCTGCCCCTTCGGGGATAAAAGGCGTGATGTGATGTGATGTTATATTATAATCAATTATTTAGAGGCAGGATTATTGATGCACTATAGTATCGTTTGTTATTGTTGTTGTTGGTGCTGCTTGCTGCTTTGTACTTTGGCATCTGTTTTAGACTCTGACATTTCTTTAAATCATTGAAATTATTTTGATTCTCATTTAATTTAATTTAATTGACATTTCCTTGAAATCTTGACGATAATTTGACATTTT